CCTCCTCCTCCTCCTCCTCCTCCTTTTCGTCCTCCCCCTCCCCTCGCCCCCCCGCGGGCCCCAGGGATGTCCCTCAGAAGCCCTCCAAGTTCACCCCATTGCTCCCAGAGGTCTCTCTGTTCATCCTGGTTGTTCGCTTTGTTTCACTAATTATATGAATAGCCCCCATGAGCATAGTTTCGGAGGGGGCTGGTGGGGATACGCGAAACGTAAAGAGATCAACCAAAAAGCGGGAGATCGTCTTCGGATATGGGACATACAGCCATCGTGCTGCCATGGGGAACACCGGAGAAGGAATGAAGGGCCTGCTTTGGCCTCTACGAGCCTCGGCCACTAGAAGGTCCCCCGACCCAGACTCAAGCGACGGCCCGAAAATCAGAGCCCCTCTCTTGAAACCAAGGTGGTGTTTTTTTTCTCCAGCGACTCGGTTGGCTTCGGGGTCATAACGCGGCTGTCTAGCGGCCGCTCGGGACGATCCCGACACCCCCGCAGCGCTCTGGACGAGGTGCAGCTGATGGAGACCGCCCAGGGCTTCGAACAGGTTTTGACCAACTCCTGGAGACTCTCGAGACGAGGAGCGGCCAGAATATCATAGCGCCTCCTGAGCCACGGCGCAGGCGGCTGGGGGGGAGGCCAGGTCTGCGGTCTGGCGCGGATGCGCGGCAGGCGGGCATATCGCCGCGGGGTGCCGTCAGGTGAGGCCAGTGGCGTGCGCCCAGACGGTGCGCAGGCAAGGAGATGCGGCAATGTAGAGCAAGCGTGCTGCCGCCAGTGGGCCAATCGGCACACCCGGCAAGGCCTAGCGCAGCGAACGCGTGTTGCACGTGAGCGTCCGGGTGGGGTGGTCGTGAGGTGTGGCAATCCGCGGCAAACACCGCGCTGTGGAGGGCCAACCGTTACCCTCATCACCACTAATTACCATCATCGTCATCACCGTCATCGCCATCCTCGTCGCCGACTCCGCGAAGGAAGAGGAGGAGGAGGAGGAGGAGGAGGAGGAGGAGGAGGAGGAGGAGGAGGAGGAGCATCAGCAGAGCTGAGGGTGCGATGCTCTGCTCGGCAGCGCAGGCAGCGCCGTGAGCCCACGGGCGACCTCACAGCTTCGCTGGTTCTCAGGCCTCCGGGGAGAAACTGACGAGGGCCGCTCGGCCGGCCTCCAGGTGCCTTTCCTACATGTTGATGCAATCAGTGCCGAGGTGCAGCCGTCGACAGCGAATGCTCCCCGTCCTCGCCACAGTGAACGCCAAGGCCCCACCTCTCTGGCACCGTGGATCGCGAGCGACCGCGGGAGCCGCGCAGGGTGGATAAGGCGCCGGAGGCACGCGAGGTGGATGAGGCGCGGGCACTGGAGGTAGTGGGTGATGGAGTCCCGTTCGCGAACTTGCAACTGTCGACCTCGGGCGTGACGTGCATTCTCGAACTCGTGTGCCAGCCACCGGCCAGCATGCGCAGGAGCACCCACCTCCAGGAGGGTCCAATCTCCACTACGAGCATCTCCTCCCTGCACCTGCGAGAACTGAGATCAGGTGGTACAGCAGAAGCACCGAACCACGCCGTGAGCTTCTTCCTCAGCGTCAGCTCGAAGCTGTCTTGCAACCAGTGGGACTCGGGGGTCTTGATGTAGTGGCGCTGCGTCTTTGGTTTGGCGAGTGGTTCCGACTCGTCGTGCACCGCGCGGTGGGCGATGTCAGCACCACATACCAGATCACGATACTTCTGCTGTGGCACACTCTTCGCCTGTCCGCACGAGATCGCCATGAAGGGAGGACAAGGAGGGTAAGCAGCAAGGACGAGGAGGAGGAGGAGGAGGAGGAGGAGGAGGAGGATAAGGACGAGGAGGAGGAGGAGGAGGAGGAGGAGGAGGAGGAGGGGGAGAAAGGAAGCAAGAGCAACGTGGAGGACAAGGAAGGAGGGAAGAGGGAAGAGAAGTGTGCAACAGCAGAAGGATGTGCTCCTCGTACCTCTCCACGCCCAGTTTCCGCACGAGCTCCGCCGACAGCACGTAACCCCCGCCGTCGGCGTATCTCCGAAGCGCGGGAATGCAGGGGCACTCCTCCTCTCCCGCCCTCTCCCCGCCCTTGTCCTGGTGTTCCCCCTCCTCCTCGTCGTCCTCGACCTCCCCCTCCTCCTCCTCCTCCTCCTCCTCCTTCCTCCTCCTCCTCCTCCTCCTCCTCCTCTCCTCTCGGCAGCGGCCACGACGATCTGGCAGAGCACCACGTCGAGCCGGCTGCGCCTGGACGGCGATCTCTGTCAGAGATCGCCGTCTTGATGTTGTTACATAATAGATCGCAAGCATCGGTTTTATAAGCCCAAGAACTCGTATGAGCTCCAAGAAACACCAGGAGCTCGATTGAAACCGAAAAACGAACACAATCGTGATATACAAGCTTGAGCCTTGAGCCTAGGACGAAATGCAGAGGACAGGTGGTGGAAGAAAATGGAAGAGGCTGGAGACTTCCTCAGAATTCGGCTCAGAACATCCTTCAACCCACATCTCAGCCTCGCGTACCAATCCGCAGAGGCACACAGGCCAAGGACGTGCCAGTGTTCCCAAGCTTTAGAACACATCGCGACATCTCGCGCGCACATCCCCGCTAGCGCAGGGAGAGGATGAGGAGGAGGAGGAGGAGGAGGAGGAGGAGGAGGAGGAGGAGGAGGAGGAGGAGGGAGAGGAGGGAGAGGAAGGAGGAGGAGGAAAGGCGGATGAGGAGGAGGAGGAGGTCGAGGAGGAGGAGGAGGAGGAGGAGGAGGAGGAGGAGGGTGAGCAGCAGCAGCAGGAGGAGGAGGAGGAGGAGGAGAAGCAAGAGAAGCAACATGAAGCAGACATACATGGTTGGATGAGGGCGACGAGGCTTCGCCGAGGGCTGCGGCCGCCGTCGTCGCTCCGTCGGCCGAGCACGTCGTGTCACAGGCGGGCTCGCTGGCGAGTCCATCCCTCCATTCCTCCATTTTTTCTCCTCCCCCTCCTCATCCTCCTCCTCCTTTTCCTCCTCCTCCCCCCTCTCTCCACCTCTCTGTTTCTTCCTGCGACCCACACCACTTGTTTGATCAATCCTCCTCCTCCTCCTCCCCTCCTTCCTCCGTTCCTCTTCGTCTCTCCTTCCCTCCTCACCCCTTCTTCTCCTTCCTCCTCTCCCCCTCTTTTCTCTCTGTTATTCCCCCATATCATTCCCCCACCTCTTCCTCCTCATCATCCTGTTTGTCCTTCTTTTTTCCTCCCTCTGTCCTTCACCATCCCCCTCTCTCACTCGTTTCCCTCCCCCTCCGCCCCTCCCATTCCCATCCTCGCTTAGTCCCTCGTGCTTCATCCTTCCTCCTTCCATCCTTCTCGTTCTCGGTCCTCCTCCTATTCCTCCTCCTCCTCGTCCTCCTCCTCCTCCTCCTCCTTTCCTTCCCCTTGGCCGCGTGTCTAAGCCCGCCTAGCGGGCTTCCCGCTGCCGCTATTCTCAGCAGCAGCTGGCTCGGTCGTCCTGGATTGTTTCTGGCTCGCCTCGATCTCTTGGGCGGTCCACGGCGACTCGGAACCCCCCTCATTCTCATTCTGGGCAGATGGGGTTATGGTTCCCTCCTCCCTCCTCCCTCCCTCCTCCTCCACCTCTCCTTCTTGCGCCCTCCATCTCTCACCATCCTTCCTCCCGATTGTTCCCATCGGGCTCCATGCTCTTCCTGAGTTGGGCGCCGAGGCTGAAGTGGCTGTCCACGGAAGCGCTAATGCCACGGTCGCGGCGAGCTGGGGCCTCTTCGGGGTCGCGGGTTTCTTGGGTTTGTCTGGGTCCTCCTCGGGTTTGGCACGGGCTTCCTCACGAGCATCCTGGACCGCCCTGGCCCGAGCTTCCTCACGAGTTTCCTGGACCGCCCTGGCCCGAGCACGGAGCTCCCATTGAAGAGATCGCCGAAATCTGAGGAAGGTGGGGCCAGCGCAATCTCGTTCCTCCTGCGGGTTTTCGCTCGGATCGCATGTAAGGCTTCGGTGTTCGTTAGTTTGTCGGACATTTTTTAGGATGTCAGAACTCGCAGAAATCGCTTGAGCCAGTACTCACCGCTGGCAACACCCCTCACGCGTTGTTACAATGCCCTCCTCCACTCTCCCATCTCATCCTGTCCTCTGCACCCTGCCCCCTCGCCCTATACCGCCCGTTCGGCATTCCTGCTCCTCTCTCACGTGTGTTTCGGTTTGGCTTCGGATGCGAGGTTGAAGTGTCGAGGATTTGATTTTAATCAGTTTTCGAACGGCGGGGGAGGGGGTGGGGCGGGTGGGTCTCACAGAATATGTGGGCATGTGCGTGACCTATAAGTATTGTGACATGAACACATCCACATTGGCACACTCGTAACAGTATTTTTGTTGCAGATGCCCCGATATGTGGGCCATGCAATCCACGCCCACGGACCCTTTCACACGGATTGCCAACGCGAAACAAATCACACACGCGAATTCCCAAAGAGATACCAACCTGGAGCACGCCCAAATCATGAATCACTTTGGCACGTCGGGGCATCTCAAACCAAATTGGGTTGCGCCAGGAAGATCTCATTTCGGCCATTGGCTGAAGAAACACCGAGCGGTGCAGTACATGCTGCGAGCACGCGCGCGCAGCGTCACGGCCAAATGCCGCAACGAAGCCGCGTCTATGTCCTAGCCTGGCCACTTGTCAAACGTGTTCGCTAGTGTGCAAACGCATGAGCGCGAACCGATGATACTGCAATTACCTTCGCGCGCTGCCGTCACCGCAGTCGCGACTGCCGAACAAGCGAAGAGCTGGGCTGCAAAACTTGCAGCACCATCGAAACCGTCCCGTGCCGCATCTCATCTTTCTTGACCTGCCTCCTCCTAAGACGTCCTCGCTCTTCTTTGCCACGCCTGCTTCTGCAAGCAAAACCAAAATCATTTGCGACCCTCGCAGATGTATGCAATGCCAGCGAGACCCATGACTTACACACGCAACTGGAGGCTGATATTTCTCGATGCTGTTCGCATTTCGATGTCATCAAATCTCGCGGCACAATGGCCGACGGGATGGAGCCATCGCGGCCCCTTGGGAATTGCAATCGACAATCACCGCGACATTGCTTCAGCCTCCAGTTTGCGCATTTGCTACCGACCATCTGGCCAGGGAAGCGACAGCAACGCAAAACCTGAGCGGGTAAAATTTGCTGGCTGTCTGAAGGGCGGTGCCTGTCACCCATGTGCCTTTCTTCCAGCCGTGCTGCTCTCTAGGGGATAGGAGGTCGTCATCGACCGAACGCTTCCGCTTCTTGATAGGGCTCTCAAATGCCAACGGGGCGCACGCACCGCCTTCGCGAGTGCGAGCTTTTGCATCAGCCATGGCTGCCCCAAGAAAAGCGCGCGCGATGTCTCCATCGTGCGACGAAAGAATAGTTATTGGCTTTGGCGTTGGACTACCGAACGCTCCAAGGTGTGACGAGATGCGAGTTAGCTGAAGTTCCTGTATCATTGCGACGACGGGCCTGGTCAGGTAGAAAAACGATCCCCGAGGGTTCTCGAAAGCGACATGGGCGTTCCGCTGCTTGCAGAGGGTTGCCAGCCAGCACCTCAGTCGCACGGGCGCACATCATATATCGTAGGACGAACGCTAGATCAAACGACTGCCGATTCGATGTAGAGCTGAACTGCGGCCGATCATCGATGTCGGCTCGATTTGTTTCTTGGGGCGCTGAGCTTGGCACACGACAGCCACGGTAAAATTAGCTTGCCGTACGTCGCGCCGAAACAAATCGCCAACGAACGAGGACTCGGAAGACCGTTTCGTGTCTTTGCAATTCATTTGGATCCACGTAGCGCACTCTGGGCTCATCCACGCTGTACCGCCCTCTTTGAGGGACAGAATGTAGAAAGCTGCCGTGAGGATGCCACCCAGCTTACAGATATCCTCATCCGAGCTGCTCGTATCCCTGGGGGGTGCGCAATATGCAACGAAAGGAAACCACTAGGGATATCTGACACACCGTCTTCTGGATATACCTGAGAAGCTCGTACCCCATGGCTGAACCTGCATACCCCTAAACTGAGCCCTGTTTGCATCTAGTCTAATTTGGACACAATGTGGATGCAAGTTGGACGCAATCTGGATGCAATTTGGGTTGGTCAGGTTTTAGGGGGGGCCGTTTTGGGGATTAGAAGGGTCGTTTGGGGGTGTCGGGTGGGTTGTTTTTCAAACGAGCCCACCCCCCTCTCCCGTTTAACTCACCGATTGATTGGCCCGTCATGCACCGTGGCCTGTCGAAGCCCACAGCCTTCATGCCTGAGAACAGGCACGTCGTGGTGATGCCACCGTGCCCGCAGAAAAACTCGACTAAGTCGAGGTATCGCTCCACATGAAACTCTGGAGCGCTCAACCACCTCTGAACCTCTGACACTGCTGTCTGCATCAAGTAGTCACCGTTACACAAATGCAGACTCCGATCGCCCAGGTTCGGCGCCAGCGCGCAAGCTCTGTCACGGATCCATTGCGGAACCCCGTGCCCCAGACCAATTGGTTTATCCAGGCCCCCTGACATCGGACAACCGATGAGGCCAAAGCGGCCCGTACAAGCACAGCTCTGGTCTCACTGAGCCGAGCAAGCTGAATGCAGTGAAAATGTGCGTTTCCATCGTGCGACGATGAGCTTTCTGCGCCATTGTCCTTATCAAAAAATTCAGAGACTCGTCCATCCACGTTGCGTACAGGCGGGGCGGGCCGTGGTACCAAGTCCTGGAACAGGCAAACCTTTTTTCACTGAACGTATCCCGAACGATT